CGTTGTTTCAACACCCTGTTATCCCCCTGCTACTTTCTATAAGCGAGCACCTGGCTGCTCTACTCCTTCATGTATATAAAGCTCGCTGCTAGACATTCTTTAAGAATCAAGCACGCGTCCAATTCCTCGCGCCCAGCTTCACAGTATCTTTAGGTAGCTTCTAAGATAAATGATTTGAAGACGCGTTGGATAGAACTCTTCGCGACTGTGAACAAGTGCTCAGAAAGACGCGACTAAGGTGAGCCAAGCGTAGATAGTTCCGCCAACGCAGCCATACTATGCGTGGGTTGAGATACCGGTTACACTCGCGAGGGAAAGAGTGGCGCTATTGTGCAGCACACTACGGTTAGTAGCGGGGATGGAGCGACGTGGGCGAGTATGTGACTGCATGAGGACGTACGGTCGTGCCATCACCGCCGCACACATAGTAGGTGGCTAGATAGACGGCCTGACCGGTGTCCGTTTTGGCGAGGTGATATTGCGCTGTACCGTACACGAAGCGTGCCTCGCTTCCATTCTGCCTACCTGCGCCAAATCGCATAACAGGACTGTATAGATTAGAGACACAAGCCACGCAGGCCTGCAGAGCGACGAATAGTCGGTCGTACTGCAGCAGCGGTATACGTACGTGTATACGACGCGCCCAACGTGGCCCAAGTGCGTGAACTGCGCCGCCTTATCCTAGCTGCGCTCGCTCGGTAAGGGTTGGATAGACACGCGCAGCACCAAATTTGCGCCGTGATGCATGTTACAGCGTAGCGCATAATGCAGTGCCGGTCAAGTTACCGCCGCGGGGGCTGTCTCGGCCGCAGTCGCGGTTCCCAGCGTGAGGCAAGGCGGCAGCGCAGCAAGGCAAGGCGAGGCAACGTGGTTCCATCTTCCGTACTTAATTACCTTATGGGCACGCAGACCGGTACTTCGCTCTCGCGCAGCCGCGCCCGACTGAGCTATACCTTTCTGTCTACTGCTTATCTGCACGCACGCTCCGTACTGTATCCGCTTTGCCTATTACTCACGTACCAGCGGTTTCGGTCCTGATAGCTATCCATTGGTTGGCTACGAATTATTGAAGTGAATTTACGTTTAAAATTCTTGATTCTGGTGTGCTGGCTAAGTAACTAGATTTACATTTCTATTCCAGATAAACTGTTTAACTAGTACCACAGACAGAACAACAATTGTCCATCTAAAGCTTTTCTAACTATTATGGTATATATTTTACTTTTTAGAAAGAAACTTTTGTTCCTTGTAATTGAAAGAAACTACGTTTTCAGGGAAGATAGGGGTATTGTAGTCACAACGGAAAAGGATACTAGATATATGATATGTAAGTGCTAATAGTTAATAAAATACTTTTAATAACAAAAGATACAAAGCTAACTGCTTATGCAGCTTAAGCTTACGATTTTTGCCAGGTTCTATTAGGCCAAGGGACAATCGCGGTGCTTATTTAGCTTTTTGTTTTGAAAAACCTGATCTTCGAAGAGCTTTGGCCTGAATGTTCCAGAGTGGCAGCCCAAGCTCTATAAACCTTTCTCTAAATTGACCTAGTACGGTTTTTACCATCTATTCAGAAGGGAATATATCTCTACAGAAACGGAAGGTCACGTATGACTAAGCTTCTTTCCAGGATTCTACTGCGCTCAAGGCAGAAGGCGTATACGGATCCATCCCTTTAGCTATGAGGTAGAACGAAGACCTGATAGCATGCTTCTTTTCCGGTTTGAAAAGTTAGATTTGGGCAAACTTGCTAAACGTATAAAGTAGTTCAAGGTTATCCCAACTATCCAACTTGTGGAGGAGTATGACAATAGTCCCTCTAGGCTTGATTCGCTGTAACGAGAAAACTAATTGGCTTAGTATAAGTCGGGAAGCTTCGACTTGCTCACGATATGACTGCCGAGGATGGTTACGGAGTACTTGGCCGTCGCAAATTGCTAGGTC